AGTAATTATGAAGATAAATCTGATTAGCTCTTTCACTCCTGTTTCAATTTGAATTAGTTACTGTTAGAAAATTTGCAAATAACCTCATTAGTAACACTAATATTTCAGCTACGATTGTAACAATCTTCAAAGGACAAGATTTATTGCAGGTTATTATCATACTTTTAGAATTGTCAGTGTACTGTGAAATGATGATTTGTACTTGTTTTAACATAGGAGCAAATAGCCAAATCTTGCCGAACAAGGAAAAAAGGAAAATATAAAAAAATGTGGATGTAAGATCATGATAGAGTGATTCACTTTTAACGATTGGGGTCGCAGGTACTTTACGATTATCACGACACTCGAGTTTTGCATTTTGAAATGGCATGCCCGTCCTTTGTCTTTAGACTGGAATTAGGTCAGATTAGTTGGGATCTCTGCACTGAGAAGACGCATAAGATTTCATGCAAGATTTGCGTACTGTTCAGAAACTGGTGCCTGAAATATTCACAAAGTCTGCATTGGGAAGGTTACATTTGTTTTATTTGTACCAAATGTCCCATGTGGTTTTTGTTGAAGGATCCGGTAATAATCGGTAGTGTCTGGAGTGACTCTATTGAATTGCAGTGGCTAGAAAGTCTTACATTGATTTTAATGCGAATGTAACTCTTCTGGTTTTTATTTGTTCTCCAAAGTCAAAGGTTTGACCAAAATACCGGATAAAACAGATTTTACACATCAGGAGATATGTTAGAGTTTTGCTCTCGATATTTTAACTTCTGACTGATAGTTAACCAAAACTTGTTGCTGAACATAGAAAATATTTGTACTCTGGGACATGCTTGAAAATTTGGCAACGCCTTGATTTGCAAATGTATATGCTTGCATATGTACCTTAATCAGACCTAGATGTATGCGTGTTTCGAATTTTTAACTTAGCTTTTAAGCATTTTTTAGTCATATCGCTACGATGTCTACAGTGTGGCAGCTTATAGTGATGTCTAGCACTGGGGCATCATGACGCAGATATATAACATCATGTCCCACCCAGTCACATTATCATGACCCTAGGTCAACCAGTCCTAACACTAACATTTTAATGCTGAGCATCCAGCGAGACAGTGGCTTGTACCATTTTTATAAGTCTTTGGTATGAGTCCCGCATCCGAGGTGGGCGATCAAATAACTTAGAGCAACGGAGGGACCATGAAACGTTAAATCTCCTTTACATAACCATATGAAACGTCTTGAAATATACCCATCAGATGTTCTGAAGATTCGATCTTGTCCAATCCTTCCAAAATGATCTTTACAAGAAGCGTTTACCGTTCAAACGTGTGTTAAAAGTCTGATCAAGTCCACTACTTTGCCATTTTGTAACTCTTTAATTGCTATTTTCTACATTTATATAATTCTCGTTGTTGACTGTTTGACATTTAATATGAAAACACAGAGGGTCGCAAACTCGAATGACTTATTCCTTAAATGTCGACAATTTGGGATTTCCTAAATGAAATAACAGCTAAGGAAGAAATTATCTCTCAAAATTCCGAAATCGATTTATATTTTTTTTAACAATAATATCAAATATTATTCTCGACATTAAAATAAAAAATTTCTACTTATACTTGGATGATGACAAAAACGTCTCATGGATAATATTGTTCATTTACAGAGAGTCTGACGAAGTCGTTCGATGGCTAAGTGTTGTTTTGCTAAAACTGACAGAATGCTTTTATATCATTTTACGTTTGAGCTCGATCCATATAATGGTCAGGCATACCTGTAAACATTTTATTGTCTGCTAGTAATCCACCCCACTCACAAGTCCTGTACCACTGATGGAAATCTCTTGTACATTTTGGCGTTCTGTCTCCCATAGTTATTATTTGGAATATCTCGACCAGAAACTGTCTGTAAAGATATGCAGATATTCAAAGCGTTGTATTCATTTGTCCCGAAATTGTTAGAATTTCCCGATTTGTTTGAATGTTATGAGAAATGTTTCTTTTGCCGTTATTCGGCCCCTAATGCGAACGTTTTGGTATTGACCCATCCTTCTCAGCTAAATTGTAGTGGTATTATTGATGTCAATCCCATGGGAAGTTTATTGGGACTTCAATAAAATGGTCAGTGTGAATAAGAAACAATCCGACTATCCATTTTACTCTCAATGTCCATTTCCTGGTCTGGTCTAAAAGGTGCGTGAATTTCGGGAACCAACACACCTCTTAAAACATTATACTTTTAACTATGGCTTGATTAGAGACAATTTCATAACGGTTCTGGTAATCGCCAGGAGCATCAAGGTGTTCGTCAGCTCGGGTTGCAACACAGTCTGACTCTTGATCGGCATGAGGATCATTATATATTGAAAGATTTGTTAATATTAAAACCCCAAATCCACAGATATTTAAGGGGAGTTGTGATAGCTAGATTCTTAGATGATCTCTATGGTTTTCATGTTAGAGGTTAGAGTGCCACCATTTTCACATATTATCTGATACAAAATGCTGTAGCATTATGGTGAAAATGCGTGAAAATGCCATGTCGATAGCACATTACATTTATAAAAAGCAGCCATCACATTTTGCAAGATGGCAGTTAATGCATTTAATTTGACAGTTAGATCAATTTACTTTAATGTCAGCTAGATTTTTGAAAGAAGTATTTTAATAAAAACTACATGTTTATAAAACCATCAAACCCGGAGAAGTAATCATGAATTTTTTAAATATAATTTAAATGTGACCATATTAGATTGTATTATTCACCACATTCATATGCAGGCTGTAAATCACGAATCTTTAAATCGAAACCTCATTTTATTGGGACCAGCTCTTCTAAAGAAGAATAAAAGGTTTGTTTTCGAGAAGACATCTAAAATGTTCATGGACATCATATTGACACAGTTTACATGTCTAATCATCGTAGTCATTTGATGAAAAAGCCATATCGATTTGACTATCATGACAAGAAACCTAGCAATGTCAGATCGGCACAGTTTTATTGAAATCCGTCCGTGGAATATTAGTAAAACTACATGCCGATATGACAAATTAGTTCCAGAGGAGTATAGAAAACAATTTTTTGATGTTGGGTGTCAGCTAGACACTGTTTTCATTTAGTACTATCTGCATGTCTTAAGAACTCTTTTACTGAAAGACCCACAATTGACAATATTATTATCATCATTGATATACCTAATGGGGTGATTAATATTGTTACTGTCATCATTGATATACCTAATGGGGTGATTAATAGTGTTACTGTCATCATTGATATACCTAATGGGGGTGATTATTAGTGTTATTACCATCATTGATATACCTAATGGGGTGATTATTAGTGTTATTATCATCATTGATATACCTAATGGGGGTGATTAATAGCGTTATTATCATTTATATATGATATACCTAATAGGGTGATTAATAGTGTTACTGTCATCATTGATATACCGAATGTTTGTGTATGTTTGTGTAAGTGTGTGTGTGTAAGTGTGTGTGTTTGTGTTAATTAATAATGTTACTGTCATCATTGATATACCTAATGATGTGATTAATAGTGTTATTATCATCATTGACATACATAATGGGGTGATTAATAGCGTTATTATCATCATTGATATACCTAATGGGGTGATTAATAGTGTTACTGTCATCATTGATATACCTTATGATGGCAATTAATAGTGTTTTTTTCGTAATTGATATACCCAATGGTGTTTGTGTATGTGTGTGTAACTGTTGTGTATGTTAATTAATAGTGTTACTGTTTGGTTTGTGTATGTGTGTGTAACTGTTGTGTATGTTAATTAATAGTGTTACTGTCATCATTGATATACCTAATGGTGTTTGTGTATGTGTGTGTAAATGTGTGTGTTTGTGTTAATTAATAGTGTTACTGTCATCATTGCTATACCTAATGGTGTTTGTGTATGTGTGTGTAAATGTGTGTGTAACGTGTGTGTTTGTGTTAATTAATAATGTTACTGTCATCATTGATATACTAATGAGGGTAATAATTAATATTACTAGCATAGTTATATTCATACCAGTGAGGCGACGCTGTTTGTAAGATACATCGACAAAATTATTTTCAATATTTTCTACAAAGATTCACCTGAATGACATTAGAAACCCACCCGGTCAAAAATGTCAGATTTTGTAGTTTGACAAAGGGACATCTTCAAGAGGCAAAATAAAATCAATCGCAAAGCTTATGATGACGAGCTATGTCTAGCAAAGGGTGAACCAAGATAACCTCTTCTGCTAAAGATGTACACGAGTAAAACGTTTTGCTTTCGAAGACAAGGCACGCGTGTGCAAATAATTATACCGTAATTAGTGCCGATAACTAAGCATCTACAAAGGGACTTCAGTTTAAAACAGCAAGCTATTAATTAGCTAGCAGCCGTAAAATTAGATACCTGACTAATTACTGAAACGCATCGTTCCTTTTCATAATATATACATCAGAGCTATTGGTACCGATACTGTATTGAAAGTAACTTCGGCGAATATATTTTGCGCGTCGTGTCACATTCCTTAAGACTGAATAATCTGTGATATCACATTCCTCCCTACAAGTATGAGCATGAAAATTATCTCCCCTGAAAACATTTTTAAGTTTCAATATACCATCAAGACTCATTCAGTGGAGTCAAGCTGCAAACAATAAAGTTTTTATTTCGTTGTATCATAATACGCGTGCTAATCATATCTGAGTCTGTGCAGATTGCAGTTTGGCTAGTATTATAACCTACATGTACATGATGGCGTGTCTGTGTGTGTGTGTGCGCGCGTGCGATTTGGATTTTTAACGTAGCTACGATGCCTTTATGGTGGCAATTTATTGTGATGTATTGCACTGGGGCATCATGCCGCCGACATGTAGCGTGATGTCCCACCCAGTCACATAATCCTGACACCAGGCAGACCAGTCCTAACACTAGCCTTTTAATGCTGAGCGTCAAGCGAGGCAGCTGTTAGTACCATTTTTATAAGTCTTTGGTATGACTCGGTCGGGGTCCGAACCCGAGACCTCCCACATCAGCGGCAGACACACTAACAACTAGGCCACCGGAGCAGTCCGACTTTAAATGAAGGATCATCGCACTCATGCTGTCACTGAATGAACAGTGTTATAGTCAAATTCCTCAAACTCAGTGAAAGCAACAATAAATCTGTCATTAATGCACAAGGCGGTATTTACCAATCCATCCTGACGAAAAGAAAGGACAAGGCTACTCTGTATTGTAATATGTAGCTAGTCTTTTGAACAGCGCCATACCAATAAATCATCATGACCTTAGTTATTACAAACTTCTCAACAAACACTAGTATAGTTTTAAACATTATAAAAAGGAACGAAAGTGTTGAAAGCTAAGTAACATCCACTGGGCCGATGAATTAAAAGTGTGTACTGTCAGCAGTGAAATAAAACTGATGCAAGGGATTCTATGAAAATAACAAGAAAGAAATAAGAGGTGCGATATGTCGTATATACTCGCTTATAAGACGAGAACTACAAACTGAACAGACCGATCGCATAATGCGATGGCGAATCTGGGTCTGTGCAATTTGTTAAGTGTAATCAGTATAACACTCAGCATCGACTCTGATCGGCGGGCTCATTTCGCTACAACTGATCTGGATCTTTATCGTTTGCAGTTTGACTCGACTCATAAGCCAGTATAGGCGATATGTTAGTATCTTGTAATTATATAGAAGATTAGACCCATATATCTAGTTCCAACCTGTCAAAGTTTACTCCTTGAGAGTATTAAGAAAAACGTACACTTTAGAATATCAACCATTCATAGACTATCCTGCAGGGAAAATAAATATTAGACTAAATTTTTTTAAGCTGTGCATCTTCACTAATGTATCTGAAAATTAAAAATGTGAACATTGCCACTGCACAAATCCATTGAAATGAATGAAGGATTGTTCTGACAGTCAATTTGTATAAACAAAGATATTGTCAGTCTTGTCTTTTTATCTCACAAATTCACCTCAAAATAATTTTGGCGATTTTGATAACATCTACGAGTTGCATTGATTGCTTAATAAAACCAATCAAGAAAATATTTTGAAGTTGGATTTTGTTTAAAATCCATTATTTTTTCATTTGATTCACGTCGGGCACGATGTGTGTAAAGCTCAGTTTCTTGGATTTGCTTTCCATCTGTTTGGGACTCTAAAAGAAACTGACCAAAATAAAACATACACGCAATAGATTAACTTGTAATGTTTTCTAACTCTTGTCACTCGAATCAGTTTAAATATACGAAGTGTCAACAGTTAAATAATTTTTATTAAAACTTTGTTTGTAAATCATCTCGTTTATATCTTCTTTGTCCAATGTCGGATGAAAGTTTGTGCTTCGTGTATAATTGTTTATCTGTTTCATACAATGTCAAACGCTATTTGGAAAACAGCAACAGCATTAACAATACAACAAAATAAAACAAAACCACCTGATTTCCTCATCCATGATTAGTATTTGACTGTGGACAGGACTTACATGTGACTAAATGAGGTGACCATGAACTTATCATTACTGTACATTCTAAATCAATGTGTTACGTTCTAACCCCTCCATTACGATACCATTCTCATAATTTCTAGAGTTTTGAAAGATGCATATTTATCGATGTTAATTCAAAATCTCAAAACAGGTCTATCGTCTCTATGCCAAAGTCAACTGTTCTCACTTGTCTATTTACATTTTATTTTCAACAATACTTATCTGTGTGAATCGTGTTTTGTCTTGTATTTATAGACTTTTTTGGATTTACCTTTTGACCTAATCTCGACTCTATATTATATCCTTTCATGAACGATCCATTCAGTTTATATAAGTATTTGCTCAATAATATTAATGTTGTCAAATTATGGTTTCCTTTACTGCATTTACAATGAATTTATTTACCATTCAGTATATTATTAATTCTTATGACCATTTAATATTTCTTTAAATGTCCTTTGTAAATCTTTGCATGATCAATTTGTATCACTTTTCTTCTCTGTATTTAGTAATTGTTATATTTGGTCACATTATGAGTTCTTCGCGATCTCAGTAGAAATGTGAGTGACTGATCTGAAATGTGACAGATTTATCTCAGTAGAAATGTGAGTGACTGATCTGAAATTTGACAGATTTATCTCAGTAGAAATGTGAGTTTTTGATCTGAAATTAGACAGATTTATCTCAGTAGAAATATGAGTGACTGATCTGAACTTTGACAGATTTATCTCAGTAGAAATGTAAGTGACTGATATGAAATTTGACAGATTTATGAGTGACTGATCTGAAATTTGACAGATTTATCTCAGTAGAAATGTGAGTGACTGATAGGAAATTTGATAGATTTATCAGTCGTTCTATAGCCTATATTTATGTTGCTTTAGTTACAATCTAAATTGCATTGCCATGTTGTTATGCCATTATTCTTGTGAAGTAATGTTGGAAAAATATCGAGATTTTCAAGAGTCTAATACTATAAATTTATATCGTGCAATGCATAAATTATTCGTTTACACCGTTGAAAATCTCTAAGATGCTTTCTGATCAAATCTGACTTTAAACACTTCGAAAAGCTCACCATGCATTTTATCGAGAAAGAGTGCAAAAATGTGGAATTCCGAGTTGTTGATTGCAGTTTCTTGGGCAAAGACGTATTTCAAATTATCTCCCTCTGATAACATGTAGGGTCAAAGTATAGCCATCGTTTCCTTTTCAGATTCTCTTTATTGGCTTTTTAAACCACCAAACATCCTGTCTAGATATGCAAATGAAATACAGAAATTATTCAAAGTGGACTTGTGGCAGATTATGTGGATTTCTGAAGAGAACGTTTAATCATTACCTTTGCAAATGTGTCAAAACAACTTCTCAGCTTGTGCTATCAGAAATTTAAATGGGATTAATATAGTAAGTAATTAAATTTTAATCAATCAACAGTCACAAAGCTACAGTGATCAATGCACGTAGCGACTTGACTTCAATTGATAGCTTCTAGAAGCGGGAGAAAGCATTGAATAATACAAGCAACGCATTTTAATATGCATTGGAATATATGGACAGAACCATAATTCATTCATTTGCCACCCAATATATAACAAAAGGAAAATGTCTACATGACGCACGTTTCTGGTTTGATTTCAGTTTGCTTCCTTATGCTAAGGTATGTTAGCGTGGTGGGGGTGGGGCGAACACATACTCTGGATATTGTTATGACTTATAGGAAAATGTGTAGAAGAAATTTACATATAAAATATGAAAAAGTGTCTGTCGTAGTTGGACCTTCTTGCCAAGTACTGTACCTTCTTTATATGCGTGCTTCCGCTGATTTGGTTCTATGTGTGTTTCCGCTCGTTTGCTTTAGCTAATATGGACAAGCTTTGTACCGGGTTCTTGAATTGCCGTGAGGAATGAAGTCAGAGCAAGCAAATATACCTAAACAAATCTCTGAAGTACTAGAGAAGCATATCTGAGATTGATTCCATGTGAGACATTATACATGGATATATTAACAAATTAACTATATATAATGATGTCAATTATCTCTATACGAAGAAAATTTATTTTGTTAATTTTTACTGCATTTTGTGTTTATAATGCTTTGGTATTTAAACAATATGCTTTAGTGAAAACCATTCACACTCAGACACCTACAACAACACATATATGGACGTGATATGCATTTACTGGATATTAGATGGTATTATACACCTTTCAGATTGTGTTATATTTAAGAGAGATTACCTTATATACAAAAATTTCCAACGTTGAGTAAAATGATAAGCTTTTAATTTTAAGTTTCATAAATCTATACTTACATAATTGTTTTAGGAATAACATAGTAATTAAATATGCAATTTTGAAAGTTTAAAATAACTTATATGCAATACTCATGTATGAAAAAACAACTTCGAAAGCAACAGTCTCCAGATAGCAAATATACGAAGACAAGCAACCGGAGACTCCCAAGGGTGACTGAAATAATCGGAAACCTCTAACATTAAGTAGTATATCGCTTTATTTTTCTATTCCGCATGAACATTAAAAATTACCGACAGTTTTAATTCAATCACTTTGTTACATTTTCTTTTCAGTATGTAGCTGAAATTCCGATAGATCAGATAAGTCAGTAAATGCATATAAGATTTATAAAATAATATATCTAGCAGATATATACATATAATGTTACCAATATACTGTAACCCAACCGTTTTGTAAATCATTTTTAAGTTTCGTTTTTCAAGCAACACTGTAAAATATCACTGAGTAATCAACCGTCATGATCTGAGGTTGTTGAAAAGGACTACTCGTCCAAGCAATGTTACAACTCTGTGGTCTTAATCTAAGTAACAGAAAAAAGCGAAATCCAACAAATTCTCTAAACTTCAAAAAATAATTTATTTCCCTATAATACAGAGGGAACATTAAAAAAACCTCACTGTATCGTGAATCAATTCCCAAAGAGTCATAAAATTTATATCACAAATCCAACTATATGAAGTGTAACTGAACTTCGATGTTCTTTAAATTAAATTCCAATGCTAAATGTGTTGATGCGTCTGTGGTCTTGAATATGCTAATGTACCTCTGGTCTGGAGTGTGATAATATGCAAAATTGTTTAATATAACACAATAATATTATCCAAACATATCAAATCTGAATTCACTATAATTCCAAATTGATAGTTCTTTTCAAGAAAATTATTGCTATGATCTTAGTATTTAATCACCGCTCCTATAGAAATATTGGCTATATATTAAATTGTTTATAAAATATATGTTCCTGATCAGGTACACGGGTAACTTGATTTGAACAAGGTCAAATACTAAATATAAATTTATATAACATAACCATTAAGAAGAATACGCAAAATTATATAAATTAAATATGCAAGTCAGTATAAATTAAATATGCAAATCAGTACCCGAAAGGTCATTGTTATACTGACATAACTCTTCATTTTAATTGTGTATAAAGATGTTAGTTTTTGACACCTTGTATTTTCCTAGATCAATTGTTTGCACAGCAGTACATACAATTGTAATCTATTATAAGTGTTCGAT